AAAGATTTGTACTAACATTGTTTAGACAAGATACCATGTCTGCATCTTAACCTCTGAATAACTACTACGAAGACAATATGTAATGTATTAATTATTGTAACTGTCCTAGTAACATGTTTTGAAACTGTTTCACTGCCACTTTATCTTTTTTCTCATTAAAATGAATAAAACAATAAAATTAAAAAATAAAAAGTAAAAAGGACATGAAAAAAAAAGAACGTAGAATTTTTTTTTTTTTTTTTTTTTTTTGGCAGAACCAGGGATTGAACTCAGGCCCTTGCACTTGCCAGGGAAGCGCTTATTCCACTGAGCCATCTCCCAGGCCCCAGAACGTAGAATTCTTAACAAATTTGAAATAACATTTCAACCTAAAAGAAGCACAAGGAAATTTTATATAGTAAATAAACTTTATTTATCGGAGATGACATTGCCAATAGTCATAGATTCACATACAATACAGTTTGTATTTACTATTTACAATTTACAGTAGTTTTTTTCCTCTGAAAAATATAAGTACAAAAGCTAAGTAAACAATGAGGTACTGCATTTGGGAGTTATCATATGTCATAGCTTAAAGAACTAGTCTTTAGCAAATATTGAGGAATCAATGTGGATAATAGTCAATTAAATGCTGTAATTTATTAGAAAAATCCACTAAGTTTCACCTCAAAATGTATTGCACAAATCTTTAAAAAAAGAGAAAAAAAATCACCCTAGAAATAAATAAGGCAAGCAGATCTTTAAAAAGAGGGACAAGAATGAAAGAAACATTAATTGAGCCCATAAATCAGGTTAAGTTATTCAAAATACCTTTTAAATGACATAAAATTCTTCCCAAAAGAAAACTGAAGACAAAAGAAAACACTATCACCATTTCTTCACTGATGAAATAAATCTATTATAAAAGCAGTCTGCAATATACCTGTGGGTCAATGCCAGATCTTTCTCACTGGCTACATGAAGGGCCCTAAATGACAGCCTCATTCTTGAATGAATGAGCATACATGGACAGTTTTCCAAGCAGCAGTTGCCCAACATCACTCTCCCCATTTCTTCAAGATGAAGATCGAAGCCATGACTGGAAAAGAAAAAGGAAGTGAGGACAAAGAAAGAAAGACAAATATAAAAAGAAAACCTTTTAAGATCAACCTTTTAGATTCTTTTTTCAAGTTAAATAAAATTGCATTCTATGGTCTGAAGACTACAGGAAAAAAGTAAAACTACAGTATTCTAAATATTAAATCCTAATGGAATCTTCTGGAAATTCAGGTTTTTGGAATGATTCAAACTTACAGCCAGCAGTCCTAGGGAAAAGCTTTTCTAGGGGAAATTTGGAGCTGCAACTTTTCACCAAGTACTGAATGATGAAAAGGTCATACAGAAATCTAGGAGCATTGTGTTCACACAGAAAGCCACCCAAGGAAACAGCTATTTAGACTGGGCTTGTAGGGCAGAAAGAGCTCATTCTACTTTCCCAAGATATTGATTTTTCTACATAAGGTAACTTTCCCAGCATGATAAGTATGGCAGCAAAAGACATTCAGCATTTAAGGGTAAAAAGCTAAGCCTCAACTAGAATAGTTAATTTAAAAAATAAAATGTTATGAGAAACAAAACTACCTAAGAGTCTCTCATATTAAAATGCTAAAAACTAGCAGTCTGATCAACTATGAGGTTTAAAATATTATAAAAATAGATTAGCAAGTAAGATTAATAAAGACAAATTTGTCATATATATTTAGTAGAAAGGAGGAAGTTTAAAATTTTCTTCACTTTGTATATGGCAACTACTCATGATATACTCCTAATAGCATTTTAGTTGTAAAAGTAGCTCAACAATAATGTTGGTCCTATGACTCTAAAGAAAATTTTTTAAAAATTGTTATACTTAATAATTCCTTTGTCAAATTTTATTTTAAAACCCTAACTTGAGCTGCTGAGAAAACAAACTTCATGAGTTATTTCACAATGTGGCACAATGTCACTGTCATAAAAGATGAAAAGATTGGGAGAATTTTTCTAGTTTAAGAAATTAGAAAAACATGACAAGTAGATGCAATGCATAACATGAGTATCCTGGATTTTAAAAAAAAAAAATTATGAAAGGCAATATTTGAAAAACTGGGGGAAAATTTAATAGCATAAATTAGATACCAGTATTTTTTGAGGTATTAGGGATTAAATCTAGGGTCTAGAGCACACTAGGCTAGTACTCATTCACTAAACTAGACCCCTTGCCCTTGGTATTATGTGAATATTAAATTTTCTGTGTGTGATAATTATACTGCAGGCATGTAAGAAATACCCTTTTTCTTTAAAAAAAAAAATTTAAAGTATTGGTTTATGTGTGGAATTGCCAAATGTCTATAAGCGCAATATCTGCAAATAACTGCCAAATGTTACAAAGAGGTTTAGATTGTGTGTGTGTGTGTGTGTGTGTGTGTGTGTGTGTGTGTGTAGATCAAGAGACAGAAAAACTGACAAACTATTATACAAGAGTTTAATCTACACCTATGCATAGTGGATATGGGGATGCATTGGGTTTTTGTTTGTTTATCTTTTTTCTTTTTTGTATTTTTTAGGGAAGGGTCTATGAGGGTGTTCAGGGTCTTACTACTACATCAGACTCATAGTGATCCCCCTGTTTACAGCCTCCCAAGAGCTTAGACTGCAGGCACACACCACCATGCCCAGTCTCAATTGCCATCTCAGCACACCCAGGGGCAGGGCCTGCACAGCAGGCCTGGGGATCGAACCCCCAGGCCCTGCGCCTGCTTGCAGGTGCTTTACTCCACTGAGCTATTTGGCTGGGGATGCACTATATGTTTGTTTGTTTTGTTTTCAAATCTTATATCTAAATAATGTTTCAAACCAGAAGTTTAGTCAATTAGCTGATAGAAATATTATACAACATACATTTCCAGTGATAAGCAATAATATTTAACTTCAATAATAAAAGTGATAGATAATTCTTGTTAAATCACATAGGCAAATTAAATGGTACATATTAAAATCAGATTTGTATGGCTAGATGATCTTTAAAGCTAACATCTTAAAAGAAGAAATAATGTGTCTTAGCATTCTAAACTTTTATACTATTAGCTGAAATCTGGCTGAATCATCAAATTTGTAATTTCTGCAAACTGTGATGTAAAGATACACTCTAAATGATTGCAAAGGTGCTAAACCAAGCTAAACCAAGAATATGTAGAGGGGCAGGGGTTAAATGGTGTAGCAGTCAAAACATTGTAAAGTGGCTACATTTCACTGTAATAGTGTGTGAATCAAAAGAGCTGCATCAATTACAGGAGGCTAACATCTACAGAGTAAACATGTCATACAGAACTGTATGATCCCAAAAAATAATTAAAAAACCTTAAGTTTAATCAGCTTTATCAGTTTTCATTATTTGAAATTAGTCTTGACTTTAAGACTTAGAGTATTTCTAGTTCTTAATTTTATGATGTATCTAAAAAATATTTTTTCTCACAAGCTTTAATTTGTACATTGCATATTAAAGTTATTTAAATGAATATTCAGCCAGTCCTCTGTGTATTTGTACACATTCAATTTTTTTAAAAAGGTTTCTATAAAAGGACTTTTGGTAATCACCTAGTTTTTAACAGAATATTTACACACGAAAAAAACATTTGAAACTACTTACTAAACAAGAGAAAAATAGAAGCATCTGATTGCATGATTTTAGCAAATAATGGAAATCTAAAGATTACTTTGGGTGAATTTTAATGTATATATTATTAATCTATGTAAGGCAACAGAAAGTAGTATCAATCATAGCATAATCATATATGCATTACAAAAAAGCCAAAGAATTCCAGTGAAATGGTTAGTATCATGCAATACATTTAGATTTAACACAAAAGACACAAGACACATTATGCTCCACTCACCACATGCTAACTAAGCACAGACTGATGGTTTACTCAGAAGATACCACTGCGAGGTGAAGTAAACTACAAAGCCAGGAAGAAAACAAGCTTAATGGGTTAGTTTTAAAACTTAATTTAACAGATTATGTGTGCACATGAAGTTTATTGGATTAAACAGATGGTACTTCAAATTAAGAAAGTGTAATAACTTCTCATTTAAATACTTTATTTATTTATTTATTTATTTATTTATTTATTTTTGGGTACCTGGGATAGAACTCAGGACCTTGCACTTGCCAGGCAGGCACTTACGCCACTGAGCTATCTCCTGGTGGCCTATAAATATATTATGATATAGCTAGCTTTTTTCTATCTACAACTTTCATTTTAAAAATTTAAACAAAATAATGAAAGGTCTATTTCACATTTGAAGTACACATTTAACTTCTAAATAAATTAGGGGGTAATTATTGGCATTATAAATAGATTTCTTTCATAAGTCCATTAAAGTACACATAACCTTAGTTTATCCTCAAAAGGTTTTGAAAACACAACAATAAACTCAATATCCAATGTGTTGAATTCTCATTCCTAAAATGTATCAACTTCATTGTTAATTATTATGAAGAATATCAAGAAAAATTTCATGAGTTCAATCCCTGGTTCTGGAAAAAAAAATTTTTTCACAAATTACCCAAATGAAATGTTAGTTTAAAGGAACTCAACCTGCTGGGGAGATAGCTCAACAGCATAAGCGCCTACTTGGCAAGAGCAAGGTACTGAGTTTGATTCCCAGTACGAGAGAGAGAGAGAGAGAGAGAGAGAGAGAGAGAGAGAGAGAGAGAGACTTAAAGGAACTCAGCCCCAGATATAGTGTTCACTGTAGCAAAACCTTCTTTAAGGATTTTATGCACTGTTTTATGACTGCCATAACTCAAATTCATTAGCTTTACAGCTACCTTCAAAAAGCTAGCATAAAGAGCAGAGCTTTTTTTTTTTTTGTGGAACCGGGGATTGAACTCAGCCCCTTGCACTTGGCAGGGAAGCGCCTATTACACTGAGTCATCTCCCCAGCCCTTTTTTGTTTTTTTTAAGAGCAGAGCTTTTAAGCTGACTTGATTCCTCAATAATGCAACCAAACTCCCAAGTATCATTTTAATTATCTTAATATGAAGTTAGTCAAAGCAGGAAAATCAAAAGACAAACTAGAAAAGAATGTTTTGCAATACACACAGCACAACATGGTTAATATCTTTATAGGAATATCTGCAGAAGTATGCAAAATATTTGTATGGATAGCCCCTGCATCTATCCCCCTAAGTTCTAAAAAACTGAAAACCACCTACATGAATGGAGTAAAGGGGAAATTGTTGAACTACATTGTAAGACATCTACATAATCACTCAACCCATCATTAAAAATAATGAGGCAAATCATTTCACAATAGGGTATACACTGAGTGAAAAAATTAAACTGCTGCAACTCTCATTTTTATAAATAAATGATAATGGAATAATCATAAATCTGCAATTATAATTAATAGAGATAAGCTTGGCATGTGGAAAGAGTCTGGAGATTAAAGATCATGAAGGACTCTAATGTTTCTGAACTGTTTCCAACATCAGTTACAGTGATCCCATATTAATGAACAATATGGGAGTCAAAATCATTGCATGGCCTGGTGTTGGGGTGCACGCCTATAATCCTAGCACTCAAGAAGTAGAAGCAGGAGGATTGCCATGAGTTTGAGGCCAGCCTCAGACAGTGAGCTCAAGACCACCCTGAATGAGACCCTACCCAAATTTAAAAAAAAAAAAATCCCAAAAACTTTCACAATAACAAATACACATTTTTCATGTTCAGTGTTTTTATTGTGTCATTTTTATTTGAATGTTTTCCAAATCCACCTTGCAGGCATCTTCTGAAAGCAAAAAGAGTAAATCTTTTGTGCTTAAAAATAACCAAAAGTCCTAAGCATTTTTAAAATTACAAAAAAAAGAAAATGAAGGCATATAGTATAATATTAGTCTAGGGCATGGACTAATCAAGAATTAGACATAGGGCTGGGTTTGTGGCTCAATGGTAGAGCATTTGCCTATCATGTAGGTGGCTATGAGATCTATCTCAAGAACCACCAAGCAAATAAACCAACAAACACAAAAGATCAGAGTGAAAATAAGATAGAAAACTGACATGTAGGTTTATGTCATTAAGTTTTTACTAACATTCTAAAGCTAGCTCATCTGTAAGTTTAGTAATCTGGGAAGCTGAGGCAGGAAAACCACAAATTCCAGCCTAGCCTGAGCAACTGTGATTAGAAAGACCTAGTCTCAATATATAGATAGATATAGATATATAGATATAGATACATAGATATATAGATTTATATAGTCGGTCAGTCAGTCTGTCTGTCTCTCTCTCTCTCTCTCTCTCTCTCTCTCTCTCTCTCTCTCTCTCTCTCTAGGGACTGGAGCTATAGTTAATAGTGAGGGATCTAGGTTTAATCCTTAGTACCATCACCACCAACAAAAATGGAAAGACATCTCTCAATTCCAAGAAATGATTTGTTACCAAATTATAATAAATTTTTAATGAAATTTTCTTAAAAATAACTCAAAATAATCATGAATCGCTCTATCAAATAAGAACCAAAATCTCCTTAAACTGATAAAAAGGTGACCCAATTTAATGAATTCATTAAATCATCTCATAGTTGACATCTTTCTCACTTCCTGCTCATTATAACCAACTTCATAAGCATCTATATTATTTTTGAATTTATACTACTTAGGTCTATCTTTATTTTTTTATTTTTGCAGAACTGGGGATTGAACTCAGGCCCTTGCGCTTGCCAGGAAAGTGCTTATTCGACTGAGCCATCTTCCCAGCCCCAGGCCTATCTTTAGACAACCATGTCTTTTCTATCTTTAATTTTTCTATAGTCCCCTTAACAACTAAAAGAGTTATTGATCATTAAGCAAAAGATGATGGATGAGGCTTTGTTCAAAGGAAAATGATAAGTGGGACACTCTTTTTAGGCAGGTTAGCCTCTGATGAAACCATTTCAGGAGGGATCAGTTGGCCAGAATTTAATCTCAATTTAGAATGAATATCACTCTATTCAGGAGTAGCATATAGTATTTTGAAATTTTTCTGTTAAACTTAAAACGAAACCTTTTCTCAAGAGTTTTAACATGGTTCACTACTTACACTTATCAATTTGATTAGTTTTTCATCAAAATAAACCAACCTAAGACAGCATGTGAGCAAGGAATGAAGAGCAATGTTTCCTACGGCATCTATAGAGCAATAATTTGAATCTATTCTATACAGTAAGTTCTATCAGCTGTAGTACAATAATAAGAGCAGAGTTTGTTATATACCAATATCAGGACAATAGAGAGGCCATATAAATAGCTAAATAAAATCTCTTTTATATCACTTAAAAACATTTCTTTAACCATAACGACAGAATCATGTTCCAAGCAGCCTAAACTTTAATGGAGATTCTTTCCACAAAGACACAGCTATTTACTTAATGAAAGAAAATTTCTGCTTTGAATGACTACATGCTTACAGAATCAGATGCCTGTTATAATTTTAATCATTTTCTCTACTGATGAATGGCACACATTATAGCAACAATATACTTCCTTATCAAAAGATAGCCAAGTTAGGGAAGGTGGTGCAAGCTTGTACTGTAAGTTTGAGCCCACCCTGACAACTTAGTGAGACTACTCAAGATAAAAAAAGAATAAAACAAATGTGCCAGAGATGCAGTTAAATGGCAAACTGCTTGCCTAGCATGTAGCGGTACCTGGGTTCCATCTCCAGTAACAGACAACACACATAAAGTGTTACTGGGACAAAGCCCAGGGATGCTAGGATCAACTTGGAGGAAGCTAAGAAGAAATGGTCAGATTGTGTCCTCCTCTTTGAAAAGAATAAGAATAGGAATGTTGTAAAAGGCTAAATGTTAGCAGTATTTAGCCAACAAGAGAAAAGTCTTCCAGCTAGGTTATCTTCAGAGTTTGGTGGAGCTCTGTGGATCAGAACCCAACATACCAGACGAAACAGGTGACCACTACAGAATAGGATATTTGGGGTCAAGATAACCAAGAATGCTTTCTTAGGAAACTTTGACTGCCAAGAGACAGTGAGATCCTCTGGAGCTGACTTAGTGCTTCTTACTGGATACACTCAGACATACATTAGACACCACGAATGAGAAGGTATTTGCTTGCTTTAGTGTGGACAGAGAAAAGAAAAGCAGCATTGGGACCATGAAACAAGTAAACAAATTAAAGGAAAGGTATGGAGGGCTCTGCAGGCCTCTATCAAGCTGAGAAAGAAAGCAGAAAGAGACAAGCAAGTGTCAGAACACAAACTTCACAAGGTTCACAATTAGCCTATGATGGTGCATGTCTTACTGAATGACCAGGCTGGGGCAAAAAGATGAAATGAGAAAATTTGCATAACTGATGAAGTATGTGTGTATTTCATTTTAATAACAGATGATTTCAGCCGGGGAGATGGCTCAGTGGAATAAGCGCTTCCCTGGCAAGCGCAAGGGCCTGAGTTCAATCCCCGGTTCCGAAACAAAACAAAACAAAACAGATGATTTCATATAAAGTTTTAAAAATAATTTAGTTGCTTCCTTACCTTGTCCTTATAACATAACAAAAGATAAAAAAAGCTTAAATTTTTTCATCCAGAATTAATGCGTACATGTAAATCAACTGAAATAGAGTAAGGAATTGTAATCTATAGAACATCATGATATATTTGGTTTAAAAAATTATTATACTATGCTGGGAATATACTTCAGTGGTACACCACCTGTCTGGCAAGCATGAGGTCTGGAGTTTGATTCTCAGTACCAACCCCCCCCCAAAAAAAAAAACAAAAAACAAAGAACATTATACCAGAACAAGTGCTTTTTCTGTCCTTTCCAAAAATAGCTCAAATGGGTATCAACATCATACATGCTATTAAATAAGACTTTTCTTTGACTTCTTCACACATGCCCTTGGTTAAATTTTCTTAATGTAACTACACTCTTGCTTTTCACGCTGTAGTACAATGAAGGTCAGAAAATTTTTAATTTCTTTTTATCAACTCAAAGTCATTATAGATGAAAGAAAAATAGGTGAGATAAATTCATCTTCTGTCTATAACCTACTTATAAAGCTTACCATTAGCCGTGCATCTTCTCTTTCCAAAATTTTCTGAGTTTGATCATCAGGGAACTTCAGTACAGTGGTTATAACTTTTGCCATGGTCTAGAAGAAAAAATGAGAGATGATCACTAATAAGCAGTGAAGGAGATGAACTCTCAACCCATTCTGACACGTTCTGCTGGTGGGATTCTTTAGTGCTCTCAATGGAAGCCACGAACAAAGAAGTATGATGTGAAGGTAGTAGTCAAGGAAATACTGTATGAGGCAAAACTAGAATTTCAATTTAAAAGGATTCTTCACATGGTTTATATTATTTTAAGATGCATTTCCAATAGCATGAAGCTACATAAAGATCTAATGCTCTTGGTCCTTTGTCCTATTAAGATGGAACTTTATTACTCAATATTTTAAGTCTTTTCATTTGCAGAAATATGTAAGGTCATGTATAGCCAAAATAATACACCTTAAATAGTCAGAATTAGATGCCCCTGCCCCGTTGTGCTTCAACTAAATCACATCATATATCTCATAAACATGGGCTACTGCATGAACATGAACATGCTCAGTAGGTATTTTTCAAGACATGCAGCACATTAGCCTAATAGAAATACAAATTACACTTTAAATAAACACAAATGTTTTGGGTTTTTTTGGTAGAAAACATGATGGATCAAAACATTACACATGGTGGCTTGCAAAACAAGATCATAAATTGTGCAGATCTAAATAAATATACCGTAAGTCAGAGTGTCACCCATAAGCTCCTGGAAAATTCTCCTCAAAGGCTGAAACTCCCTATTTTGTATCAAGATGAGATGTTTTGAGGGAGACAGAGAGGAAAGAAGATACCACTTATGAAATATGTAGGATAACAAATTCAGTGCTTACATACAAAATCAGGTGTAGTACTCTCCTGGGGATTCCTACAGCGGATGAGAGAGTTGCCCAGAAAAGTGACCTCAACATTTTGTTAATAATTACACAGACTCTTTGTGTAGGGGAAGGAGTGGGAGTGGGGTTATGGGGAAAGTCATTAAAAAAAAGATGACATAATATTGTTAACCAAAGGTTTGCACACACATTGTTAGAAAAAAGGTATTATTTTCAGGAAAGAAAGGAACTTTAAAAATATTTTTATCATGTATTATACTTAGCCTAGGCAAGATACTTCATGTATTTCTAATACTTATTTCAGCTAACAGAATAACAATATCTTTCATCAAACAAACCCCACACAGTAGGATTTTAGTTTCAGTTCATTTCTTGCTTTTATTTTTGCTTCTGCCATTTTGATGTTTATAAACAATAACATTTAAAACAGCTTAAGTCTGAGGAATTTCTGAGGCAGTTTATAAAAGCACTTATTTTTAAAATTATATTAACTAAATAGAACAGAATCTTATATTCTAACCTGAAGTCTAGAAACCGAGTATATACGTGGCATGAAATGGCACGAGAAACAAGAAGTAGTGAGTGGGCATTCCAGTATTCTTTTCATTAACACTGAAGCAACTTCCTCTATACTATGGGAGTAACAAAAATCTAAAATTTAAGGATCTACTGTTACAGGAAGCATTTATCTAATTTCAATGTCACATCAAGCTCAAAGTACTAGAAAGTCTATTTGGATTCATTATAAAGCTAATATACATGCATGGACAAGTATGTTTATAAGAAAAAAGAATATCGATTTGATTTGAAACTGTCTCATTGCTATTTATCAATAAAATTATGGCAAAAAAATAAAAATAAAATAAAAATAAAAAAATAAAATGTTAAAAGAGAAAAAAAAAAGAAAAAAACATCAGCTACTCGTCTTTCCGTATTTCTAGACAACATTAAATGAAAAAAGCCACCTCTACATTCATCAGCAACCCAGAATTTGTAGCTGATTACTAAGTAAAACCTTAGAGCTTGTCAAAAAACAGTTTAATAGAGAAGCCCAAACTTTCTGCCACACCTGGGAAAAGAATCCAGACTGTCTACTATACATACTATACTCTCAGACCCTGCAAAGTAAGGAGTACCTTTCCTACAAGGTACTCCTTGGGAGAGGCTTCTTCAATAAAGTAGCTTGGGGTGAAAAACACCTTTTACTGAAAAGGAAAATAGTCTAAATTTCAATGTCAGTAGTAACATGGAGGTCTAAACCACAAAAAAAAAAAAGTTCAACCACAGAAGAAAAACAGGCTTACTTAACTTCATACCATAGGACTATGTATACTATATATAGTTAAAAAGTTGTCTGAATCACAAGTTTAAGCCTACCAGGGAAATAGAGAGAACTTGTCTCAAAAATACCATTTTTTATAAAGGGTTAGAGATATAGCTCATGGAGGCCCTGGGTTCAATCCCTTGTACAGGAAGTAAGGCAGGGAGAGAGGGAAGAAAGAGGAAGGGTAGAGAGGAAAAGGAAGGCAAAAGAGAAGGAAGAAAAGGTGAGAGGAGGGGAAAGGAAGGTCATCTGCCCCATAAAACAAAGAACCCTGCATGTAAAAGCAGATGAAGACACATAGGAGAGATGACATACAGACACTGCTAGACAAGAAATAACACTTTGGTTCATTCTGAAACAAAACTTGGTCTCCATTTCAAATTATTTGTGAATATACAGAAATTATGCAAGTGAGCAAAAGATATATCTAAACGAAGAACTCTGATTTTGTTAATCCCTCTACTTCAGGTGTACACCCTCTGTAGTATCTCCAGGTGAAACTGAAAATATTCAAGGCCCTCCTCCATAGTCTGCACAGTCATAAGTGGAATTATGCTCACCTCACAGAATAGTGTTTCAACTGCATCAGATTACTTGTTATTCCAGAAACCCAAATGCCATTTTCTGCCTTGAACCTTTGGTCTGAATCCTCTCTCCTATCCGAGCTCATCTATTAAAGTCTAATCTTCTCTGCTTAAAGCCCAATATACACAGGATGGCCAAATAGCTCAGCAGATAAAAGTGCCTGCTTAGACAGATGCAGCAATTGGCTGGGGTTCGATCCCCCGCATGTGGTGCCAGCCCTGCCCCCGGGGCGCACTGAGACTGTGATTGAGACTGGGCGTAATGGCTTGCGCCTGTAATCCCAGCTCTTTGAGAGGCTGAACACAAGAGAATCACTACAAATTGGATCTACGTAGTGAGACCCTGTGGACCCTGCAGACGCTTTCCTAAAAAACAACACCAACAAAAAAGCCCAATATACACCATGAGTCCTTCTTGAGCCTTACACAAGTAAATATTAAGACTGTTCTCTTTCGGCCCTTACTAAAGCTCACTACATTCTGCATCACATTACTCATACTGTTAATGGAGCATAGCTCCACTTTCTTACTATGGGGTTCACACAAAGTTAGGGATAGTATCAAATTCCATTATACTATCCCTCGTGGTGACAAATAGCCACATGAAGTTAGCTGTTCAATAAATGTGCAGTAAATAAACATGTGGCCAACACTCAGTATTCACCTATAAAATACAATGGTAAAATGACAGACCAACTCTTCACTTTCATTAGTCAGAAAGGTACAATGAAGATAAAGACAGAGCAAGCACTGTTCCTTAATATGGATTTCCAGTTCAGTTTTATTTTTTTTTAATTTATTTACTATTTTTTAATTTTATTTATTTGTGTGTGTGTGTGTGTGTGTGTGTGTGTGTGTGTGTGGCCAGCTCAGCCCACCAGGGGGCGGGGCTGGCTGGCAT